TTTGTGTCTGTTTGATGGATGTTTTTGAAGTCTGCTGATACACAGGATATATTGCTAGTGCGGGAGTCGTCTTTTTTAAGAAAAAAAAACAATTCTGGAGGGGGAATTTCAAAGGGAGGCAACCTAGTTGGGTCCCTTGAGATGCATGTACCTATGGGACGACACTTTGTGTGAGCCACAAATTGTCATTCTGAGTCTGGGTGTTCTTTGTGTCCGTTTCATGTTTGTTTGTAAAGTCCCCCGCGACACAGGATATGTTCCTAATGCTGGAGTTGTCTTTTTTAAGAAAAACAAAACAAAATATAAGTTTACTACCTCTGACTGACTGACTCATCAACGCAACTTGAAATTTTAGCAGTTGATGCTGATACATAGTATGAACCCACTAAGAAAGGATTTTTGGATATTTCCCCTCCAAGCGGGTAAAATAAGGGATGAACGGTTGTATGGAAGTTCGTTTTGTTCGAAGTTACAAACACGAAATAAGAATGACTACACGGATGGCGTAGTGGTTTAAGAGGTCGCCACGCCACTTACTACGACCGGATGGCATAGTGGTTTGTGTAACGGACTGCTATTCTAAAGGTCGCGGGTTCGATTCCCGCTCAAGTCAAACATTTGTGTGCATGAACATTTAATGTTTGATTTGGTCTGGGTGTTGCTATCTATGTATAATATGTATGTATTTACAAAAAAAAAGTATATATGTATTTATATCAGTTGTCTAGTACCCATAGTAGTAAAATATATATATACTATTACTACATTCACACAACGCCATCTAGTCCCAAACTAAGCAGAGCTTGTACTATGGGTACTAGACAACTGATATAAATACATATATACTTTTATATATATATATATATATATATATATATATATATACAAAGAGGAGTGTTGTGGGTTCGATCCCCACATGGGACGACACTTTGTGTGATCCACGAATTGTCATTCTGAGTCTGGGTGTTCTTTGTGTCCGTTTCTTGTATGTTTGTAAAGTCCCCCGCGACCAGGATATATTCCAAGTGCGAGAGTTACGTGCGTACGCGCACAATTTCCTCATAAATTATTAGTTATATTGTTGCCTAATAGTTGAACTACGTTATATTGGGTTTTTATGGACTGTTGGTCTAGTGGTTAATGCACTGGCTGCTGAGCCAGAGATCATAGGTTCGATTTCTTCGCAGGACAAATATTGTATCTTTATATATATAATTCTTCTGTGAGTGTGTATGTCACTGAACTTCTCTCAAACGACTGGACCGATTTTGATGAAATTTTTTGTGTGTGTTCAAGGGGATCTGGGAATGGTTTAGATTCACAATTTTGTCCGCTGGACAATGTTTTTTTAATTAATTTTTAATTTATTAGTAGTTGTTGATTTTGGAATGTTTTACATTGGATCAGACAGACGGCGCTACCATCGCAGTGTCAAATTTGACAGGACAACGTCTGTCGGGTCCGCTAGTATTATATATGTTGATGAGAACGATCATTACATATGTAATGTTTCTGGGTGTATTTTATCTATATCCTCCTATTACTTAAGAGGGACTAAAATTATGGACGGTGGCTCTCCGGGGATAATGACGTAATTACATGATGTACATAATAAGCAGGATAATGTAATTTAATTTACTAACCTTCCTAACATTGTTTTCTACCTTACCGGTATAAAATCAATTTAAACTACTAGTCTAAAGTACCAAGGCTTCATAACCGATCAGAGATGTCTCCCGCGCACGTGCCAACCAGTCGCAGTCTATATTTATATCGTGTTTGAATGATCACCTGCTGTTTTGTTGTAATACGTATAGGGTTGAAAATTGCACATATTGTTAGTTAATACCTTTTGTAGTTTGTAATATTTGAGTTGACTGCTGGTTTAGTGGTTAGTGATGCTGCTGTTTTGACTGCCTCGGTGGCGCAGTGGTCTGCGACTGCTGTTCGGAGGTCTCGGGTTCGATTCCCGGGTCGGACCAAATATTTGTATGCTCTGCAAATATTTGTTTCGGAGTTTGGGTGTTTTCTATGTATACTATGTATGTATTTACAAAAAATAAATAAGTATATAAGTGTTCTATTAGTCAATCTAGCTTTCATAGTACAAGCTCTGTTTAGTTTGAAACTAAATGGCGTTGTGTGTTAGATGTCTGAAATATTGTTATTATTATTCTGACTGCTAATTGGGTCGTGGGTTTGGTTCCCACCCAGAACAAGTAATGGTGAGACAAGCACGATCTTTTGTTCTGTCACACATCACATCACATCAACAGCTTATAATAGTCCACTGCTGGACATAGGCCTCTCCTTAGCAAGGAGGTTTTGGCCTACTATACCATGCTGGCTATATTTTGTTCTGTGTTATTTTTTAAATAAAGTCTGCATTTGAAAGTAACGACGAAATCGGTCCATCCGTTCCGGAGGTTAGCTGATATAAAATATATAGATTAATTAATTAAAATCGTTTTATTGATATAAATACTATGTGAACAGTCAGATGCATTTAGTTAAAAGAAGCTGTTATTATGATATTACAGACAGACACCATTGATTTTATTTATTTGTATAGATTATAAATAAATCTGAGTCAAACTTCTCAGTACCCAGAGATCTTGAAGACGGCGGCTCAATACAGTGGGCGCGTTCGTACCTTTTTAATATTTTTGGACATCTGACACACAACGCCACCTAGTTTCAAACGAAGCAGAACTTGTACTGTGAAAGCTAGATTGACTGATAGAATACTTATAAACTTTTTTGTAAATACATAGGTACATATTATACATATAAACCACCCAAAACAAATATTTGCAGATCATACAAATATTTGGTCCGACCTGGGAATCGAACTCTCAGCAGAGCAATCGCATACGATGCCAATTCTCGAGGCAGTAATTATTAGAGTTCAATACTAAAGGAAAAATAGTTCAGATAAAATTAATAATAGGCCTCCGCCTCCCATTCAAGATAAAAGGTTGATCTCGCATTCTGGACACCCTAACAGATTCATTACAACCTTAAAGTTTTATATATTATTAATATTTAGGTTTATGTATGTATGTAACTAGGTATTTATGTAAGTTTGTATGTAGGTATTTATCTCAGTGTCTCTGTCTAACTTTTTAACAATTTTCTCTCACTTTACATATCAATCTCTAGTGCACCTAGTCACACATTTCAGCACTTAGGTAGACTGGGAGACAAAGACTGTGGCATTAAGTCCGCCATTGTACAACCCAAACTTGTGCATAAAGTATTAAAATAAAATAATAGGAAACGGATATTGCTTATGCAGGCGGATCTGGAAGTGGAACCAATAGCTCGAGCAGCTCAGGGCCTTACCATTAACTCGAATTAGGTGCTGCCGGGAAGTCTGAATCCTCTAACTAAATTTAAATACACAAAGATATGTGAGAAATGGCCTTGGTCGATAGTATTTTAGATATTGGGTACTCTATAGCTGACAATTATCATCAAAATTCATAACACACTAGATATCTACTACTTATTAGAAAGAAGAATTGATAGGAATGGAGAAAATATTTTTACGGGCCTGTTGGTCTAGTGGTTAGTGACCCTGACTGCTAAGCTAGAGATCGTGGGTTCGATTTCTACCCAGGACAAATATTGTGTGATGAGCACGGTCATTTGTTCTGTGTTTGGGTGTAACTTATCTAAAATATGTATGTACTAGCTGACCCGCGCAACTTCGTCTGTGTCTCTCAATAGTAATAAATTTTCTCCGTTTTTGAAACATTCTTCATTGGTGCTCCGCTCCTATTGGTCTTAGCGTGATGATATATAGCCTATAGCCTTCCTCGATAAATGGGCTATCTAACACTGAAAGAATTTTTTAAATCGGACCAGTAATTCCGGAGATTAGCGCGTTCAAACAAACAAACCAACAAACTCTTCAGCTTTATAATATTAGTATAGATTTAAAAATATATAAGTATGTTTATCAGCAGTCTAGTTACCATAGTACAGGCTCCGCCTAGTTTGGGATCAGACGGCCGTGTGTGAGATATTATTATTATTAAAGTCACGGTCAAACGCTTATAACCATAAAGATGTAGGAAATTCCTATTTAGGTGTGTCGGGGTTGAGAGTTCACTATGGACATATTGTGTTGTAAGGGGCGGCGGTCGAGCATTCGACTGCATTGTCAGGGATTCCGAGATCGATTCTCGCTCATCGCAACTTTTTTCGCGAATGTCTATAATAATCTATGTGTTGGTAAGACTTGAAATACTGTGTAACTTTAGTCGGTTCGATTCCGTCTTAAGCTTCATCTTAGACCTTCTAGGGTTTCAGAGCTTGAAGAGAAACCTGACTTTCTTTTTGACGTGATTAATAGGTTTTCTTTTGCCTTCATCTACAGTATGGTCTAAAGCTTACGTTTATACTACACCGCTCCAGCACAATAAAAAATCATCATCATCAACAGCCTATAACAGTCCACTGCTGGACATAGGCCTCTCCTTAGAAAGGAGGTTTTGGCCTACTATACCACGCTGGCCAGACGGGTTGGTATAGGGTTTCTTTCAAGTTTTCCTTCTCTCTGCAGTGCTGTTGTCCTGAGTAGTTTGCTCCCTTAGTCGGCTCTTACGACACACACGGGATGAATAGGGATGGTGACATTCCGTATTCTTAATCCGTCACCACACAGATATACAATAAAAAATGATATTTAAATAAGGGATTCCGCTCATACTCTTGGAATAAACTTTATGATAATAACTAGCAAATAGAGCGTGGTAATAACGTTTACCGAATTTAGCCAGTCAACACGTTGTGCTTATCACAAATTTGAAGCAAGAGGACAACAGGTGACTAGTTCACATTGGCCTGCACTTAAATCTTCACCAGTCCATCCCGTAATCGATCGCCGTAACGATCGACTTTATCGAGACTACACTGAGAGGCCAAACTGAACACTTAGGCCCTTAGGCGTCCCGTCTGTGGCTTAGGCCTCGTATAAAACCGTCCACTACCTGTCAGCGCGTAAACAGCTTTGCCAATACTGTCTGGAGAAGTGTCTTATAAATGAGCTTCAGACCTTGAGAAATTTCTGAGTTTATTAACGTTGTTCTCCTGGTACAGATGTCGGTGGGCCTGCAGCGGCGCGTGCCGGCGCTGGACGAGAGCGGCGCCGGGGTGCCGGCGGCGTGGAAGAGCGGCAACAGTGAGCCGCCGTTCGCGTCGTTCGCGCCGCCCGCCGGCTCACCCGCCGGCCCAGCGTTCGCGGCCTCCCCAGCGCCGTCCACGCCGGGGCCGGGGTTCGCGGGCCCGCCGTACGCTGCTCCGGGACCGTTTGGCTCGCCGTCCGCACGCCCCGGTTCCGGCGGCGGCTTCCCTCCCGGGCCGCCGCAGCAGCCACACTTTCCCGGGCCCGGGTTTGCGCCGCCCGGCTCACCCTTCCACCCGCACCCCCCACATCCCCCTATGCCGCCACATCCGCACATGATGGCGCCACTGCCACCTCCGGTAGACAGGTATGTCATTTTTTTTTACCGTAACAGTAAGATATCGCCTTTAAATCACGAGGATCAAAAAATTATCCTCAGTTAATTTTTTTCTTGAATAAAAACCAGTTACTGGCTTCTTAAGATAGTCAAAACTTGTTAGGACGTTCTATACGTCATGCTGAACGAGGGTTGCAGGTTCATTTCATCTTCAGGGAAAATTTTCGTAAGCTAGAATTTTTCTCTAGGTCTATAGCTTTTGTGAATGTGATGTGTTCAAGAATCCGTTGCATAATTCTTTACGCAACCAAACATACTTTGATACGTTTTAAATACATAGATATATTACACGATTTGAACAGCCAAAGTAATGCAGATAAACTATTCGTGCATACAAATATTTGCGCTGAATCTAAATCGAACCTGAAAGCAAACAACCAACACGTCTGATTTATTTGTTTATTTCTTAACGCATATTTAAGAAGGAAACGCAAACATTTACATTCATTAAATATTTATTACTAAGTACACGTTCTAATTTAATTAGAATATTAAAAAAAATAGAAAACAGAAACTTTATATGCATAACTGAAACCTTACACGCTTTAAGAGATAAGCAGATTACGTTATAGATTATATTATAATTAAAAAAATATTGAAAACCATAAAAAATGACTCAAAAACTTCTGAATATATATTATATTTGATGATCTAAACACCAGTGAACAAATAATTTTCATTACTTAACATACATATAATCCGTGTGGAGAGTATCACCACCCCTATCCCTCCCGTGGGTGTCGTAAGAGTCGACTAAGGGAACAAACTACGCAGGACAACAGCACTGCAAAGAGAAGGAAAAGTTGAAACAAACCGTATACCAACCCGTCTGGCCAGCGTGGTATAGTAGGCCAAAACCTCCTATCTAAGGTGAGGCCTATGTACAGCAGTGGACTAGTAAAGGCTGTTGATTACATATTTTTTAATTATACATATATAACCCCTCGTTTAGGTATAATGTATGTAATATACAGGGTTACAGTGTAAGTCGACCTAGATACTTTTAGGGGTTGTAGTCGTCCTCCATAAGCGCAGGCCTGGGGGTGACAGGTGAGGCCATCTGTCACCCTAGCAGAAGCAGGCCGGGGTGGCGGCGAGCGCGTTGCGAAGCGCGCTCGCTTCCAGGGAGCACAGAGAACATGGGGTTCCCACACGGGGAACATCTACTCGTCTGTAGATGACCCGAGGTATGTCGGGGCACCAGGGACTTCCTTTCTAGGGTATACCTGGTTCCCCGGCTATTAGTACCCGAGACGGCGTGCGGTTTTAGTCGGTTCGAGTCCGACATGCCACCGACAGGTGGTATCCGAGGGGATTTCCGCACGGAAAAAAAGGGGGGTTGTAGTCGCCATCATTTCTGATAGATTTTACTATGAAATACCATATCCCAAACCTATCCATTTTAAGATTTTGAAGAATACGAACATTTTTTTTAACAATTCTGCAGTTGTTAAACTGCAGAATTGTTAAAAAAAACGATGTCATGACAGTTATGTCATCGTTTTTTTTTTTATTATTCGTCAAAGAACAAAAAATTACAAATTTATTTCTTTTTGCCACTTTTAAATCATCTACTTCGGCCCAGTTTGTTAAGTTAACTTTATTTTAGTAATTAAATTGTAAAACAATATATCAACTACACAAAAACAGTAAAAAAAAAGCATAAAATAAAGGATATAAGTTCTAAAAACTCGTATTAGGTAAAAGTCAATTTTCATAAAAAAACTTCAAAGTCCAATATCTTGAAAATCGTTAGGTTTGGGATATGGTGAAATCTATCAGAAATGATGGCGATTACAAACTCTTAAAGTATCTAGGTTGACTTACCCAGTAACCCTGTATTAATACTCTATACATCTATACACATCAACAGCCTTTAATAGTCCACTGCTGGACATAGGCCTCTCCTTAGAGAGAAGGTTTTGGCCTACTATACCACGCTGGCCAGACGGGTTGGTATAGGGTTTGTGTCAAGGACGCAGGACACCAGCACTGCAAAAAGAAGGAAAACTTGACACAAACCCTATACTCTATACAAATAAATAAAATTGGAGTGTCTGTTTGTAATATTAAAATAACCGCTTTTTACTAAATGCATATGTATGTTTACACGGTACATATGCCAAAATAACATTTTTTTTCAATTTTTGTCTGTCTGTCTGTCTGTTTGTTCCGGGTAATCTCTATAACGGCTGGACCGATTTCGACGGGACTTTCACTGGCAGATAGCTGATGACATAAGGAGTAACTTAGGCTACTTTTTTTAGACTAGCTTCTCCCCGCGGCGTTGCCTGCGGTTATAACAACAAACGCGGGTTACACCGCGGGTCTCAGCTAGTATCTGAATATGTTTTTACCTATTAATCAAAACAAGCATTTGTACGACATCCTGCGTACTCTTAGAACCTATCAAACGAAGACCTACTAATATAGAGATACTTTGTTTCCACTACATCATGTTATGTATACAACATATAATTATTAATTATGGTGGAAGAGGCATGATTCGTATCCGGGGTCCGTCGGGGTAACCGGTACACCTGGTTCCGAGGCTACTGGTACCCGAGACGGCGTGCGGTTTTTAGCAGTTTCAAGGCATAACCACCGGAGTGTGGTAGTGGTAACCGAGGGGATTTTCAGACAGAAAAAAAGGCTGGATCGACCGGAGATCAATACGGTATGGTATCAACCATGGCCTAACAAAAAACCTTCAAAAAAGGAGCGTACTTCTACCTCAAAGGCCGGCAACGCTCTTGTTGAGACTCCTGAGGCGTTCATGGGGGGCGGTAGTCACTTTCTATCAGGTGACACTTTCGGCCCTTTGCCTCTCCCCCCCACCCCCTTCCATTAAAAAAAAACCGGTGTTAAAAAGTTCTTTTATTGCTTTTCAGCGAATGAATAAGGTGAAGGCGAATGATTTATAAATCATATCATCAACATGTCACTAATTTACTAAACCACTGCTACTTAATTATTATTACTCTACGCAAAAAACGGTCGTAATCTTTGATAATTTGATTGATTTTAATGCCATTTATCATTGTCTCAGACGGAATCACAATCACATGTGAAATCGCTGTGACTGAAAACAATCATTTCAACAAGTGAATATGATTTAAAAGTAGTTCATCTGCGGCGGTAGTCACTTACCACCATGTTACCCATCTGCTTGTTTGCCACCTATCAAATAAAATAACAAATCTGTTCACCGCTGATCTCTGAACCTATGAAACAGATTTGAATAATTCTATTTATATTTGGTACTGCGTCTGATTTTAAACTAAGCAGAGCCCGTACTGTATAAATATTCAAATAATTTAATAATAATATTTCGGACATCTGTCACACAACGCCATCTAGTTTCAAACTAAGCAGAACCTGTACTATGAAAGCTAGATTGACTGATAGAATACTTAAATACTCATTCTTTTTTATAAATACATACATATTATACATAGAAAACACCCAAACTCCGAAACAAATATTTGCAGTCATACAAACATTTGGTCCGACTCGGGAATTGAACCCGAGACCTCAGCACAGCAGTCGCGATGCGATGACGATGCTCTTCACGCAATTAGTTGTCCTTTTTTTTTTCTTCACACGGGGAATGCTTTTCGTACCATACCCTCCGTTGGGGAAACGTAGGGCGTGTGTGGGACTCCCGGAGAACCGGTCTACCCATTAAACCCCGCGGCGGCCTACCTCGGCAGTCGGGAGGAGCTCCAGGAACGCATCGGCGACTTCTGGAGTCCTCCCTGCCGTACCTCATGTCTGAGGCACATCCCGGAGTGATCGAAGTCACCCTGGGGCAGGACGCTACCGCGCCTCTCACTGTTCTACAGAGTAAAAGGCGCAACAGCATCCCGCCTTAGACGACAGCCCCCGGCCGCACCGGAGTGTCATCTGTCTCGGGTCGTTTACAGCGGTCACATCAATTAGTTGTTCTAAGTAGGCATCGAACCCCCTACCTCTGGCTCAGCGATGAAAACCAAACACTAGACAGGGACAGATTTCGAATAGTTATGATCATAAAGGTGTTAAAAATATTGACGTAAAGAAATGAGGGAGAGGAAACCGCTTTTAACATTTATGAGTCCATGTGTCAGTATCCAGTTTTAGGCTCGTTTATATGAACTCGGTTTTAAGTGGCTCTAGTATTTTGTTTGAGCATCTCCGTGTCACGGTGGTAGTGCATTCAACTATAATATCAGGAGTCGCGGGTTCGATTCCCGTTCTGTGCATAGATGAGTGAATGTCTTTTTTAATTTGCTTAGGTTTTTCTATTAATATGTAATATGTGTGTATTAACAAAAACTGGATCTTTGTATGATTATCCATGTTCTTGAGTCCAAAATATAATTTATTCTTTGTTAGGGTTAGATAGCGATGTGTGATGATATGCCACAGTATAATTTTTACAGCATCACATACCTACAGCTAAATTGAAATTTAAAACAATATATTCTGTGAAACATTAATATAGTCTATGAATTAAAACTTTTTTAATTAAACCTACTTTTTTTTAAATACATACTACTACTGTTCCAAAAACAAAATTTCCCGCCCAAATGATTGAAAAAGGAACACGAAATAGCTATAATATAAAAATCACAAAATGATCTTCAAGAAGAATAAAATAAAACCACGTTTGTTTGTGTGTGTAAGCCATGTGTCCTATGTGTGCGTGAACTCGTGGAGTAAATTTCTGTGTGTGCGAGTTGGGCCATAAAACTGCGCTTGTGTGTGTGCACGAATAAATGTAGGTGAATGCGCTGAGTACTTATATCTGAGCGGTACCGACAGAATATTATTTAGTTTTAATTAAATATTCAATTTTCGAAATCTTATTATATAACGTCACTTGTTTTTTTTTTCATCACAAATTATTAAGGAAACACTTTGATTTGAACCTCTTTTGTTTACAATGAAAATACTTTAATAAGGATAGCATTTTTTGAAATAAAAGTTTATTTATAAAATAAACCATTTTGCTCAAATGTGTAGTCCGTATACAAAACTAGTTTTGGATCTGGTGTGGCGAAG